AATAACCGCAAACTTGTTCAATTTAACAATTAACTCAAATAACTATAAACGTTTTAAATATAAATTTATTATGAAAATTTTGTAATGTTTTCAATTGCTATTTTATTATTAATTTTAGTTCAATATTGTTTAGTAAAATATATATATATATATATATATATATATATATATATATATATATATGATATATATATATATATATATATATATATATATATATATATATATATATATATATATATATATATATATATATATATATATATTAATCATTTCTGAAATTTGTTTTTCAATAATTGTTTTTAATCGTTATTGAATAAAAAATAATAATGATTTTTTTTTATTTTTAAAAATTTCTAGAGTAAACAAAAAATATTAACATTGATAAACACAAACCCATGTTAATTATTTAAACAACGATTTTGTTTTGATTAGCAAAGAAAAATTTAGGTTTTTAAATATTTTTTAAATTTATCTTGCTTAGCATTTTAACTTGCGTTTTATAAAAATATAGAAAAGTTTTGTCTGCTTTGAGCATATTTTTGATACATAGTTTAGAACGCGTTCGCCAGGAATTTAATTCATAAATTTTTTTATGTTATTGTAAAAATATTTTACTTTTTAAACAAATCACAAAGAAACATAGAGAAACAAATCACAAGAAACAAATCACAAAGAATCATAGAGAAAAATTTTAACAATTAAATCTTTTTTTTTTTAAATTTTTGGAAATTAAAAAAAAAAAAAATTAAATTAAATATAAAAGTCTTAATTATGCAAACTCTTTTGTTAATTATTCTTAAAACAAAAAAACAAATTCTTCTACGCAAAACTTTAATCGTGCAAACTTAAAAAAATACTCAACTGAAATAATTTAAGTATATTTAATAATTTGAATCGTATTTGTTTATAATAAACGTTTGTAAAAATTTGTTTATTAAAAGTTAAGTTCCTTAACTTATAAACAAACTCAAAAGTATTTTCATTCTACGTATAATTACAAAACTCTTTTTTTTCGTTTGTAAGCAATTTAACTTAATAAAATAAAAAAAAGAATAAATATGAGGTAGAGATGTACCGATTAATCGGCATCGGCTTAATCAGCCACTTTTTGCGCAATCGGTATCGGTATCAGCATCAGTCTTTCCTTATCAGTTTACCGATTTTCCAACCGATGGCATTTTTATATTTTTATCCCTAAAATTGTATTTATTTTTTGAAAGTTTTCTTTTCATAGTTAAAAAAAAGTAAAAAATGTATATTTATTTGATTGAGCTTTTCTAATATCTTTTAAAATAAAGGTTTGGGTCCAAGTATTTGCTTACCAGTTCTGATTCCATGAAAAATTTTACACAATTTAAAGTTGTATGGTTTTATATTTTCAAATTATAATAGCTAATTAGTCTATCGGTATCGGCATAGGTATCAGCTTTTTCCTATCCATCGGCATCGGTATTGGCATCAGCCAAAAATGTCCAATCGGTGCATCACTAATATGAGGTAATCTTTGTTAAGAATAAATTTAATTTATTTATTGAACTATATTTTTATTTTTAATTATATATCAACTTAATTAAAATATAATAACATGTTAAAATATTTTAACATGACTTGTGTTATTTTTAAACTGTTGGGCAGTTGCCCTTACAGCACCATTGTTTTTGGATAATATTTTATTTTGATGAAGATCACATAACTTACATTTGATTTTAATAACGTAAGTCTTCTCTTTTTCTGTGATCATCGCATCGGCAAAGCATTGGCAAAGTCCCAAGATTTAAAAGTTTTTAAAGTAAATCTTTTGTCCTTCAAAATACAATCCATATTCGAACTTTAAACAATTTAGAGATAATAGTAATATACAAGGTTTTTATATACTAGTTTGTTTTGTTTTATAAAGAAAAATACATATTCATTAGTAAAAAATGGAGACTGTCATTAAACTAAAACATGCCTTGTACCTGTAATGTGCGCGTGCACAATAAAACCTCCGTTATATAAATATATTCAACGTAATATTAGTGTCATCAGCGGATGTTGTAGTCTACTCATGATTTCTTTACCTTATAATATAACTTGATTTATGAAATAAAAAAATTTATTGAATCGCACGCAGAAGAAATTTAACAAATTGTCTTCATTCAAGTATTGCGAGTAACAGGTAATTTTTTTTTCCTGTGCTGACCCCTTCCCTCCGCATAACTTAAAGGTAAAGGTATCTATATACCTTTAACTAATAAGAAAAGCAAAGACATTTTTTTTAATATCTCGAAAAAATGTCTTGATATTTTTGTTATCATGATAACAAAAATATAAAGACATTATTTGAGATATTAAAAAAAATGTCAATTCTCAATTACAAATTTTTTTGCAAATGTTTTTATTATAAGTTCAGTAAAAAATTCTTTAAAAATCTATATTACAAAAAACATTTATATTCTCTATTAATAAATATGGAATATAGATTTTTTAAAAGTTTTTTACTGAAAACTTTAAAAAATTGCTACTTTTCATTAAAAACATTGCAAAAAATTTGTAGTTAAGGATTGACAAACAATTTTTCATGTTGCTATTTATATATTTGGAAAAAAAAAAGTTTAACGTCAAATTAATTGCTATAAAAAGGAAAGATATATTGCGATGAAAAGTTACAACAATTATTTTTAAAGTAAATTCTTTTTTTTAATAAATATCTTTACATATCGTTATTTAAAAGTTAATGTTGTTTTTTTGAAAATTATTACTTCTTTTATGTTACCGCTAATTTAAAAGTTAAAAAATGTTAAAAAGGAGCTTAACCAAAACAGCTCTACGCGTACGTAAAAATCGCTTAAGGCGTACGTAAATCGCTCTAGGCGTAATGCTTTTAAACAAGGCCTTATATATATATATATATATATATATATATATATATATATATATATATATATATACATATATATATATATATATATATATTATATATATATATATATATATATATATATATATATATATATATATATATATATACATATATATATATATTTATATATATATATTATATATATATATATATATATATATATATATATATATATATATATATATATATATATATATATATATATATATATATATATTAACCCTCAAAATTAGGAAAAATGAGGACTACAATAGTTTGCTGACCTCAATCTTTTAGAGATTGGTATCAGGTTCGCAAAAAAAGTTTGGTACAAAGGTCTTACCATAAAATATAGAAACAAGGTGGGCAGTTTTTTGTGGACCTTAAACACTTTTAGATCGGCAGTTAAGTCAGCATTGCTGAATGCCAACAATATATAATGTATATATATGATATCAGGGTGTAAACTAGCCCTGTGGGGCCCTGTCAAACGCAGTTTTCCCAAATGCTCACAAAATTAAAATTCCCAATTTAAAAGTCAAAAAATCCCAATCTCTAAATAAAGTTTGCTTAATTAAAGTTTAATAATAATTCTCAAATTTATTTAAAATTAATTACTTTTAAAAACTAATAGACCCCTTTTCGTTGTTTTGGTTTTGCACAATGTGTGCGCATGCCTAAGTCATTGGCAGTCAAAAGAAACAATTTTAGCGTTTTTAGTTTAATTAAGAAAAAGTAAACATTTGGTATTTTTTACTATCTTCTATTCATCTAAAATATGGAAAGTTAGAAAGAATCAAGTTATTTTGAAACATTAGATGAAACTGACAAGTTTAAATATATAAAAAAGCTTTTTTCAAGGAGCACACTACCAGATTTATACACATTGGTGGAAGCCTCCTGGAAAGATAATGAATCACTTTGGCCAGATATTCAGTAAGGCGATATATGCACATATCTCATAAATACACCGAGCCAATACACAAATAAGAGTATGAAGGGTTATAAGAAATAAAATTAGTTTATATATGTATGTATCTCTCACTCACTCACTCAATCTCTCTCTCTATACATGTATATATATATGTATATATATATATATATATATATATATATATATATATATATATATATATATATATCGAGAGAGAGAGAGAGAAAATGAGTGAATGAGTGAGAGATATGCACATATATAAACACATAAATACGTTCATGCATACATACATAGAAAGTTTATATATTTTTATATATTTTTTAATTTTGAAAGTTATTTTTTCTTTGTTAGCAATAAAGTAGGTCTTTTTTAAACTGGTACTTCCGAATCAAAGGCAGGGCAAAAAAATTAAACTGTATGATGTGTGGGTTGGCTTTAACAAAGTTGAGGGATGGATACTTACTGGAAATTGCACATGCATGGCAGAGTAATAAAAAATCATTAAAAATAAAACTATTTATAACATAACATATACAATTTTAACATATGCTAAATAACCTACCCAGTGGGAAAAAAGACCTTACTTACCAACTATTAATTCAAAAAGGGCTGATCCTTTTAATCCACTCATGTTTTCAGTGTGGTCCCTTCTTTTTTAACCCCCTAGGTTAGATTGGGACAGGAGTCAAACGGTAAACAGTCTAAAAATATATAAAAATGAGTGTGCTAAATAAATTTACAACCATCAAAATGACTATACAATGATGTATTTAATTATGTAGTACTTAAATCAAGCTAAACATTTGCACCTCTCAGATTTGCTATGAAAGCCAAGTTATTGAAAACAGATATTGATATTTTTCTGTCTTCTATAACATGATTTTTTAATTGAATTTCGATGAAATTAAGTGTTGTAGACTCATAACAATTTAAAAATCCGTTATTGACTAAAGACTATCAAAACAAAAAGATAATTCAGCTAATACACCTTGAGAGTTGTTATTCATTTAAACTGGAAAAAAGTATTAGTCAAAGCACTATTTTAGCGTGAAACATAAGGATGCTTTACTTAACAACATAAAATCATAAAAACTGGCGATATCAGAGCAACACAGACGAAATACACATAAACAAAAATGACTAGAAAGCTGCAATAATGTTTAGGTAAAAAAAGTGTACTTTTCCAATAACATTTTCACTTGGTTTTTTGTATCCAAACCAAAAATTTTGCGAACAGTTCTAAAGATAAATCTGTTGTCATTATGTGTATTTTTATAATTGCTTTGTTAATGACAGACAACAGTTAACAAGAAAATAACATATTTAACATAAAAGTTAAAGAGCCAATCTTTTGTATAAACAATTTCATCATTCAACAAAATAAAAACAAAAAAATTATTCAGATCATTTAAAAATATATAAAAAAATTTGCAAGCCTACTGAATGCTTCTTTTTTTCTATCGTTCCTTTCACTGGCACTTGAACAAGTAAATATAGAGAGAAATTGTTTACAGGTTTTATTTTTTGTCTGAAAATAAATATTTTATTTTAATATGTAATAAACAACGTTCTTCAAGCACAATACATTAAAAAATTAGTCTAAAAATAAACGGTAAAACTTTTCAAAACACTTACCTGCGACTAACTTAATTGAGACTAGATCATATCGATACCATCTTACTGGCACCACGCCATCCACTTTTGCTTCTTCCGATTAACATTTTTTAGCTAAACAGCTGCAAATGTATGTTTATTTCAGTATATATATATATATATATATATATATATATATATATATATATATATATATATATATATATATATATATATATATATACTGTTAAGCTACTTTTTATCATTTTTTAACTTTTAAATTAGCGGTAACATTAAAGAAGTAATTAATTTTTAAAAAAACCACATTAACTTTTAAATAACGATATGTAAAGATATTTATTAAAAAAAATAATTAACTTTAAAAATAATTGTTGTAACTTTTCATCGCGATATTTCTTTCCTTTTTATAGCAACTAATTTGACGCTAAACTTTTTATCCAAATATTTAGCAACATGAAAAATTGTTTGTCAATCCTTAACTACAAATTTTTTGCAATGTTTTTAATAAAAAGTATAAATAAATTTTAATAAAAAGTATAAATAAAAGTATAAAAAAAGTAAAATTTTTTTAAAGTTTTCAGTAAAAAACTTTAAAAAAATCTATATTCCATATTTATTAATACAGAATATAAATATTTGTTGTAATATAGATTTTTTAAGAATTTTTTACTGAATTTATAATTAAAAACATTTGCAAAAAAATTTGTAATTAAGGATTGACATTTTTTTTAATATCTCAAAAAATGTTTTAATATTTTTGTTATCATGATAACAAAAAAATAGACATTTTTGCGAGATATTAAAAAAAAAGTCTTTGCTTATTAATAGTCTTGTCTTATCTTATTAGTTAAAGGTATATAGATACCTTTACCTTTAAGATATGCGGGGGAGGGGGTCGGCACAGAAAAAAAAAAAAAAACCTGTTACTTGCAATATTTGAATGATGACAATTTGTTAAATTTCTTCTGCGTGCGATTCAATAATTTTTTTTGATAGATCAAGTTATATTTTAAGGTAAAGAAATCATGAGTAGACTATAACATCCGCTTATGACACTAATATTACGTTGAATATATTTATATAACGGAAGTTTCATTATGCACGCGCACATTACAGATTCCGTTAAATAAATACTAAGGCACGTTTTAGTTTAATGACAGTCTCTTTTTTTTACTAATGAATGTGTATTTTTCTTGATAAAACAAGACAAACTAGTATATAAAAACCTTGTATATTTCTATTCTCTCTCAATTGTTTAAAGTTCAAATATGGATTGTATTTAAAAGGACAAAAGATTTACTTTAAAAACTTTTAAATATTGGGACTTTGCCGATGCAATGATCATAAAAAAAAAAAAGAGAAGACTTACGTTATTAAAATCAAATGTAAGTTATGTGATCTTCATCAAAATAAAATATTATCCAAAAACAATGGTGCTGTAAGGGCAACTGTCCAACGGTTTATAAATAACACAAGTCATGTTAAAATGTTTCAACATGTTACTATATTTTAATTAAGTTGATATATAATTAAAAATAAAAATATAGTTCAATAAATAAACTAAATTTGTTCTTAACAAAGATTACCTCATATTTTTTTTATTTTTTTTATTTTATTAATTAAACTGCTTGCAAACGAAAAAGAAAAAGAGTTGTAATTATACGTAGAATGAAAATACTTTTGAGTTAGTTTAAAAAAATTAAGTTAAGGAACTTAATTTTAAATAAACAAATTTTTACGAACGTTTATTATAAACAGATACGATTCAAATTATTAAATATACTTAAATTTTTTCAGTTGAGTATTTTTTTTAAGTTTGCACGATTAAAGTTTGGCGTAGAAGTATTTGTTTTTTTGTTTTAAAAATAATTAACAAAAGAGTTTGCATAATTAAGACTTTTATATTTAATTTAATTTTTTTTTTTAATTTCCTAAAATTTAAAAAAAAAAAGATTTAATCGTTAAAAACGATTTTTCTCTATAGCTCTGTTTCTTTTTGATTTGTTTAAAAAGTAAAATATTTTTACAATAACATTAAAAATTTATGAATTAAATTCCTGGCGAGCGCGTTCTAAACTATGGGTCAAGGTGTGCCAAAATTAAAAAAAACAAATTATGTTCAACGTAGGTTTATTGGTAATAGTAGTTCTCTATACTTATCAAGCTTTTAAAAAATGATATTTTTTAGCCACTAGCTTTTATATTAAATTTTTTAAGTCTTGTTAAAGTTAAATTTTTTATTTAGATTTGTAAGTTTTTAAATGAAAATAAATAAAATAAATGTGTTGCTACACAGAAACTGTAAACTACTTTTTAATTTAAATTATTTGCGCTATAATTTTTTTATACATTGATAGATTGGTCTTTTTTAAAACCAAATAACTTCGCTGCACATTTTTTTCTTGTAAGTTAAAAATTTTATTTTATTTTTAAGATGATATGTTTTTACAGGTTATTTTAGTGTAAATTTTTACTTACTTTATTTAATTAAAAAATCCTCCATTATCCTCCAGTCTAAAAATGCATTAAAATCCTTACTTACTATACATATTATAATTTAAAGTTAGTATTAGCTTCAATAAAGTACCACCTTGTCTACAAATTAACTTATAGATAGCAAGGTATAACAAAAATTTTGTCCGTGACAAATAAATCACAGGATTTTTAATAAATTAATTTTTAATTAATCACTTGGTTTTTTTAATTAAAATAAAACACTTTATCTTTAAACCTAATATACTTTCATTTAAATGATTTCTAATGAGTATATTTTTGAATTTATAGGATAAAATGATTTCTAATGAGTATATTTTTGAATTTATAGGATAAAATGAAATACATTGATATATATACCTACATACTAGAAAATAAATTACAAATCTCTGACCATGGTGTTTTAAAGGATGTTATCAATGGCATGAATTTGGTAAATCCTAACCCTAAGCTGGAAATATTTCTAATTCACATGAGAAAAAGATGGCAGGACTTAAAAGGTAACCGTATTTGTTTTGAAAAAAAACACAAAGAGTGGCTACAGTCAGAGATTGATGTTTTTACTCATGTTCCTGTGAAACAAGATACACGTGGCAGGCCTTCAATTGAGAATTTTGATGACTGTTCACTTCGAACAAAGTACAGGCGTATCAACTCTCTACAACAAGGGCATTCATCCAATGAACTACTTTTTGCGGCAAAAGTTACTCTTAAAAAAGAAAATAAACTTGATGAGTTACATGCAGTAAAGAATATTTTTGACAGTAGTAAAAAATCTCAACAACTATCTAGCTATGAGGCTCTAGCTTTACCTTTAGATACAAATATGACCAAAGATGGCTATCAACTACATCGAAATGTTGCTATGAGAAAAAACTGTGAACTTTATCCTTCATATCACATAATAAAGGCAGCAAAATTATCTTGCTATCCAAATGAAATAGAGATAGCTGATTATTTTGCTAAAATCTCAATGCAGAGCTTGGTAGACCACACTGCACAAAGACTATGTCAAGTACAGAATGAAGTTATTGAAACAGTTGCTAGTGATACAACCATATTTGCTACATTAAGACACAAAGCAGGATTTGATGGCTCAACAGGACAAAGTGTCTATAAGCAAACAGTGTCTGAAAGTGGTATCCGTAATATAAAAATAGAAGAGTCTTTGTTTTTAACATGCATTGTACCACTTGACTTGAGCACATTTGCTGGTGGAAAAAAGACAACTTTGTGGTGAAACCCAAAACCATCATCAACTCTGTATTGTCGCCCATTGCGTTTTCAGTTTGAAAATGAGTCTAAACAAGTATTAATCTCTGAAGAAGCTCAACTAATAGAAGAAATTAGGAATTTAAATTGCACAAAAATTATATTAAACAATGGCAAAGAACTTCAAGTAAAGCATGTGATTGAAATAACAATGATTGATGGAAAAGTACACACAGCTTTATCTGAGGCCACTAACTTGACAAACACTAACAACAAGTCAGTGTTGTTCTATCTGTGGATGCTCACCATAAGAGATGAACAACATTGATGCCAGCATAGTATGAAATTACCAGGCAAAAGGCTTGCAGTATGGTTTATCTACACTGCATTGCTGGATTAGATGTTTTGAATGTTTTCTGCATATTGGTTACAGATTGCCCATCAAAAAGTGGCAAGCAAGAACAGCAGAAGACAAAGCAAAAGTTGCTGACACAAAGTCTCACATTTAAAAAGCTTTTCTTCATCAGATGGGCCTTGTTGTTGATCAACCAAAGTCTGGAGGATCTGGTACATCTAATGATGGCACTTCTTGAAGAGCATTTACTGATGTTATTTCTTTTGCAATTATAACAGGTGTCAATAAGGAACTAATTTTAAAATTGCACATTATTTTGTCAACCATATCAAGTGGCTATGAAATAAATACTGAAAAGTTTACAGTGATATGTACAAAAACTGCAAAGTTGTTTGTGAAGCTGTACCCATGGTACTACATGCCACAAAGCCTCCACAAACTGCTGATCCACGGTCCAGCAATAATTAATAGAATGTCACTTCCAATTGGTATGATGAGTGAAGAAGCACAACCAAAAAATATTTTAAACGGTTTCGTGAACGTCATGCTCGAAAAGCTTCAAGATATATGGCAAATGAGGACATTTTGAAAAGATTTCTATGCTCATCTGATCCTGTCATAGCATCATTGAGGCAAACCTGCACTTTAAAATAAAAAGACTTTCCTGTTGAGGTTTTGGAGTTGTTATTAGCAGGAGATAACATTGTAAATTTGTAAATACTTCATATAAATATATGCAGACATTGATGGCTGCCTTAAAGTTGTATGAGTTAAATGAGTTGATAAGACAAGAGAGTATTTTTTCATAAAATTGTATGCCTATCAAAAAAATTATACTGTAATTTTTCTATGTTTATTCTGTGGATTTTGTTTGAATTGAAAAACTGCATATTTTTTTTATTTTTTTGCTGTATTTTTAATTATTAAAAAAAAACAATAAATTTTTTTTTTTTATTTAGTCACAAATATATTAAGAAGCTCAAAGTATGTTATTTAAATCAATTTCATAAAAAAAAAATTTTTGGCACAAAAATGGGCATTTTGACCCACTGTGCTATGTAT